GTGCTATATTGGTGCCTCTGCTAGATGCCAACTAGCTGCAAGAAGTCTGGACCATGCAGAGTTCAGCCTTCTAGCTCCTTTCCTTGGGTGGAATGAGAAACAAGTGGAGAGTGAACCAATAGCTACAGATACACAAGACATTTTCTGGATCATAAGGGCAAAATAAACATTACTGTCTGATTCACAGAATGAGGAGTGGTTATTTCTCCCAATGTTCAGAAATTCTACTATGTCTAATTATTTAGCCAAATCATTATATTCAAAAGTAAGACAACAGATGGGTAATGTGGGAGGCAGGGTGAGGGGGGCGAGGAACACCTAACACTTTCAGATATCAGAAAAAATAAAACAGGAGGTTAATGAAGCTGTAGTCTTCCTTATCCTTAATGTTGGCATGAGGGCTTATGCTTAGTAAGGGCTGTCATGTCACACTCCACATTGAGGACATTACCCACTTCAAGTCTTTAAACAACTCTCTGAGGAAGGCACTGTAATTGTCCTCATTTTATAGGTAGGGAACCAAGACACAGTGAGCCCAAAGAACTTGGACAAAGAATGCTAAAGTCAAGACTGGGGCTCAGCCTGACTTGAGACCCATGTTTTTAACTGTTACACTTTATCACATGACATTATACACTATCTTTAACACTGTGCTGTTATGGTTCAAATTTGTAACTCCACTGTTGCCTCAGGGCAGAACAATACTAACTTCTCCACCTGAGAGAGGCCTCAAGCTTTTTTGGTGCAATACGAAAGACAACAATACAATACTGTAGATGAAAATGACATTTCCAGAAATTTTTATATGCAAATTTGCAACAATAATTTTGCATTAATGTAAGCTTTGCATTTAAAAGAGAATTTAACTTTGATGTATAACAGACAAATTACATTAAGACATTAAATCTGTAAGTCATTGTTAAAAAATAGTTTGCTTATTATAAGAAAAGAAAACTTTCCAGGCTTTGATATATGTTCTTATAAACATGAAAATAAAATTCCTTCCTCAACTGTCCTTTTCTATTTCACACATATAGATCTTTCCATATGTTTTAAATAATCACAAAATTAATAGGAACTGTTTTTAATACATCCAAATCATAGCTGCTTTCATGTCAAAATATTTTGGGGAAGAATGAGGTGAAAAGTTGCTTAAATATTAGGAAAAACTAAGAACAACCAAGAACAGCTTTAGAAGAGAAACTGAAAGACTGAGAAGGCATCTATGGGAACATGATTGCAGTTGGAGGTTCTCTAATAAGGGGGATTGTGAAGTTGGCATTAACAAGGCCAGAGCCCAGGCAAAATAAAAAGGAAGAAGAAATAAAGCCAAGTACTGTTTGACCAACATATTAGCTGTGAATCAATGAAAAAACATACCCAGTGGAATAAGCCAAACCTGAATGCGATTTCCAACAGCTTTTGGAAGATGTAGCATTGGACAAAACTTCTTGATATTTTTTAAATGTTCATTATTCATAAAAGGGTCATGATACTTATCTAACTGAATTGCAGAGAAGAATTAATGGGACAACATCACACAGTCCCCAGTATTAAGGCTGGCATTATGAATGCCAGGGGAAAGAACACCCTCCAATTGCCCCCACCAGCCCACCAGACACGAACCAACTGTGAAGAGGAGGCAACAGGAAGACCCCTTCATGGGCAGGCTGGGCACTCCTAGAAGTCACACAGAGTTTTCTATATAACAGTTATTTTCAAAGTGTTTATGATCCTAATTATTTTCTAAACCAATAAAAGGATTAATTTTTAGGAAACTAATGTCAAGGAAAAAATAAAGCCATTTCAAAGCATGTTTTCAATCACACTAATAAGCCACAATCCCATACTATATTTGAACTGTAAAAAATACTACTTGGTAAGGTCATTATGTTAGCCATTAAATTATTAAGCTATTGGGACAGCTAAACCTGGTTAAAACAATACTAAAAACAATTGTTTTGTAACATACTATATTTTGAATTTTGGCTGTTTGGCATATGCATTAATTTTTAGAAGAAAATGACTAAATTTATTTACATAATGAATTTTATTTCAAGTCACATGAAGCCTTACATGATTATGTCACTGTACACAGGGCAATTTGTGAGACATCTACTTTATAAGTAGGTTTTTAAAGTTATAAAATTCTTCAATTAGTACAAGCACCACTATGTTTTAAAATATGCCATTTATTTATAATTAAACATCTTATTGGTCACTACTGACATAATTTTGATACTCTCAGATTCAAGAAAGCATTTTGTAAAACTACCATGCCACACACACACCAAAAAGTTTGGGGGGTCCTCAGTCTTGCAGAAGTTTTTTATCAGCTAAGTTCAGCAGACAAGAGTGCCATCCAGAGGCAAAAGAAGAAAACACACATTTGATTTTATTTGTGAGACAAGACCGGTGTTAAATTTTTAAGAATTATTTGCTATTACTTATCTCATTAAAACATGCAGGAAATTTTAAGATTCTCTCTGAATTAAAAAATCCTTTAGTTCCAGGTTACATGTAAGTGTGGCTCTTTGAGACCTCACAAATGGAAACAAGCCTTGAGATGGGGCCAACCACAGGTGCATACTTTGCCAATTAAAAAATTGAATTTAAGTGTATTCACTGCAGTAAATGCTTTCCTTTCTTTCTATAATGAATATAGCATGTGTTTCCAGAAGTATATGTAAGTTCTGAAATAACCACCATGATCTATTTAGACATGTGGACCAAAAGTTAAACTAATTAACCAGAGACAGTTCTTACTTAAATGAGAAAAATTTCTTTCACTAAAAGTTCTTCTGCATAATTTTCTTCTGGCAAAAAAATAAAGTTTATTTAGAGTAATTCTGTTTGGCAGACAGTCAGGGCTTCTAAAAAATATACCAATAATTGTTAAGGTTAAAGCACATAGTCAATTCTATTAAACCCACATAAAAATCCAGGCTTCTAATGGCCTACACAATACGCTGATTATAAAACAGAGATTTATGACATCCCCACTTTATCTTAGAAGTATGGATGTTGGGATTAGGCTAGCATCGCACTATTTCCTAAGATTTATGTATTTACAACAAACTATAAAAGGTCACTAAATCTTAACTGAAAACATGACATAATATTAAAATGTGAAGTTTTAAGCATAAAATTTGAAAATTTTTTCTACATGCAAAATATTTTTGAAAATAATTCTTATAATTATACTAATTTTTTAAATGCTTATTTCATCTGATTTTATTGTTTCATTTTTATACCAACATGCCTTAAAATAAATAGGTGATTCTAAACTCTTATCTACTTATGTGACTTTCTAGAAAACACATACTAAGAAATAATAAGTATTTTCTGCTGCCTTCAATTTTTAATTAAATCAGAAGATTATACAGCTGACTAATTCCAACTTTTCTTTCCTGAAAAATCTTTGCAAAACACTCCTTTAAAGTAAATCACTGTTAAGTAAACTTTTCCCTCTCTTGGTTTCTCTACTGAGGGATCTCAACATCTATGAAGCTATTTCTCTTCCCTATTTATACCCTTAACTTAGTCATTAACTTAGTCATCCACATACCCTGAATTGTATCATTCTATTAAAAAAAAAGCTTTTATCTGCAATGATAGCTATAAAATATTGAAGCAGGAAGTATAAATAATTCTACTTCTTTATTTCTACATTTCTCTAGGAAATAAATGTGACCTTGAGTCTAAATTCAGCCTTCTATACAGATGTTGTGTATGTACTGCTAAATTCAGAACAGTAAGACAAAGACAACTCACTGGGACAGCATAGTTTTAACTCAAGATAAAAGTTCAGCAATTAGAGCTCAAAGTATATGTCAGAGAATATGTTGAAAAATCTTTAAATAGAGCCCAACAGTTGGGAAAGTTCAGGTAGGTACTAAAGCAACAACAAAAAAGCTAATCAAAAGAATAGCTTCTTAAATATATTTTAGGAGAAACAAAAGGTCTGCGTGTCTGCATAATACATTTATAGAATAAAAGAAACACATAAAGGAGAGCTACCTGGTATTAATAAATGATTCAGTTCATTCAGAAGTATGAGCAACTTAAAGGGTAAATTCTGAAATACTTGCCAGATCTCCAGTTGGTCAAGAAGACCTAGTGATGATAACATGAAATGGCTTAAAATTTCTTAAATCTTTCCTGTTCCTTATTGCTCATCTCCAATGCTATCATCTTAGTTCTTATCATTTAAAAATTTCATATTAGTTTGACCACTTCCAATTTATCTTTAAACCCAAAATCCTACTCTATCCTACCACTGCCACATTTTCAAATCCACCCTCCAAATAAGAGTCCAAAATAATTTCTGTAAAGTACAAATCAAACACATCCCTTGCCTGATTGATATTTCCAGATCAAGACAAAGGTCCACATGTCCTGTTTGCATCCCTCCTCCTTCCCATTACAAGTGCTAAGGGCTTCCCAAGGGAGCAAAGCCATAGCCACATATGACCCCCTAAATCCAGGGTCTACTAAAAGAAGGCTGTAGCTAAGAGGGGTTTAGGTCTTTCTTTTCCTACTTAACCACAATTTAATTTTAAATTCTTCGGGAGAAAATAAAATCACTCCACAGCAAGAAATGTGAGAACACCTAAGTATAAAGTCTTTTACAAAAACAACCCAATTACTAAAATCACAGTTTCCAGACATCTTTAAATGACCAGAATCACTTGTTTCAAGCAATATATAATGCAGAATCTAAATGAAAAGAGGTTGGCAACATAGACAGAGATCAGATCATACAGCCATAGAATTAAATTCAAAATTAGTTGTCACGATGCAAAGTCAGTGGGATGGAAAAAGCAGGGATGTGATAAAACCTGATTGACAGTTTTGAAAGACCACTGTGGTTTCTGTAAGAGTTGAAATTGCTGAGAAATTAAACATTTCTGATGTATTTTCATAAATCGTGATATAAGTAAAACATAATATGCAGTTTCCTGTTAATGGACAATTATGACAAAAAAGTCACAGAATACCTGGTCCTCGCTGGTTAATCCCAGGTGCATCACAAGGTAAAAATGCACCAGGAAATCTGAGTTTGGCAGAACGTCCTGGCGTCTGGTCATCATGGCACAGATCAGCCTGTAGGCTTGCAGTTTGCCTTCCTTGTATTCATTTGGCAGCGTCGTTGCCTGCCAAGGAGATGATGTTTCCAGATTAAATCAAGTCCAGATGCAGAACATTTAGACATTTCATTTACTTCTCAGTTTTCCAGAAGAGTTGTTTATGAAGATGTGGGATGCTGTGACTTTAGTAAAAACCCAGCCTGTCTTCAAAACATGCAGTCTTGGGCAATTACATTTTTCAAACTCAATTTCAGAAAGGAAGAGGAAATTGCTATAAAGAAACAAACACATATCCACTTGCCTTAAATAGCCATGATGCAAACATTCTGAGTGGTGGGATCAAGACTGGAGGAGATGGAGAAGACTGGTTATCCAGGCTTATTGCTAGATTATCCCGTATCTAATTCACAAAGAAGAGAATTTTAAGGAAGGTAACATTCCATTTATTGCAACAGTATTTCAATATTATCTTCCACAGCTGATTCTAATTAAATTTCTATAAGTTCAGTGAAAATCCATAATATTTACAATTTTTTATTTTGTTGTGAAATTTCGTCTGTCTGAACTGTGTCTGACTTATTGTATGTGGTTTTACATTAAACATAAAATTAGTGTATTGTTTTTCCTTGGAAATGTTAGTACCTGGAGAGGTCCTAATCTCCAAATGTTAGGGAATGGTTTAACAAATTACACTGTATGTACTTGAATCATGTTTTTGAAAAAAAAATTAATAACAGAAAAAAATTATGTTCAATACCAAAACAAAAACCATGATGAAAACTGGATGTACTCTAAGAATCTACTTTTGTAAAAATGTCTTTATCTACAGAAATAGAACTATATATTAATATCAGTTATTTCAAAGGGATGGTGATGCATATTTTCTTCTTTGTACTTTCTATATTTTTCAAACTTGTACACTAAAACCAGTATTATTTTTATAAAGAGAATAACTAAATTTATTCAATATCCTATTTTTTATATCCTATACAAATGTTCTACTTTTACACTAAATGAAATAACTTCATATTTATACAATATTCAAACTATAATTATTATGATTTACTCTTTGATAATCAAATGCACCTTGTCTAAGTGCCTAATTTGTGTTCCAGAATATGTTCAGTAGTTACTTGCAACACAGCTTTTGTATTAATGATCAAAGTTTCAAAGATAACATAGAAGAACATGCCTTTGCTAATTTGTACCAGAGTTCATAGAGATGGCCAAAAACTTTGGCATGGATCTTGGGTGACTGGATATTATTCACGTCTCCGAGGATTCCCAAGACTCTTCGCCACAACACAGCAGCAGAATCTGGGTGCCAACCAGTGAGATTCCCTCCAGCAATTATACTACAGTCATCTGCAAGACACTCGCTGCTGTCTATGGAAAAACGCACAAGTTAACCCTGTAAACAATCTGGGTTTCATCATCATAACTTTTTTCTTAGATGCAAATTACTATGCTGAAATTTTATATATCCCCAGTAATTAAAACAACAAAATGTAAACTGGATGTGAATTTAAAATGATAGAAAAGGACTAATGAAGAAAGTAAAATCATTTTGATTCTTCACACTCAAAAGGCAACAAGCTAGGGATGAAGTAACAGTTCCTGGCCATACTGATGAAGCTGGGGAAGGGAGGGGGGACCTTAAGCAGAATGGATCCTGGGAATACATGGCTGGGGAAGGCCACACTGTTGGTGCTGTTTTTTTGGTTGTAAGGTCAGGTTTACTGAGGGTATCTGCAAACATGAAATCTTCCTCCTTATTAGGCTTGAGTCTTAAGGAATGTATGCAGTCATGAAGCAGTCACTGTAAATTGTCCCTGTAATTAAGATATGAAACAGTCCCATTGCTTCAAAAAGTACCCCTCCTTGGTCACTCCCCTCCATTTTCAGCCTCTCACAACCACTGCTTTTCTCTGTCCCTACAGTTCTGCCCCTTTCAGAATGGCGTGTCAAATGGAATCCTACCAAGTAGTCTATGTTCTTTCACTTAACAAAATGTGCTTGAGATTCATCCATGAGGCTCTGTGTATCAACAGTCTTATGATTGTTGATTAATATTCCACTTCATGATGTACCAAGATTTATCCACTAACTCTTTGAAGGCTATTTAGATTGGCTCCTCTTTGGGGCAATTACAAATAAAGCTGTAAACATTCATGTACAGGTTTTTCTATGAATATACATGTATATTTCCCTTTGATAAAAACCTAAGGGTAATATTTGTGGGCTAAATCATAAGTGAATATTTAATACATGCTAAGTGGAAGAAAAGAAAGAAATGTCAAGACTGTTTTTCAATGTGGTTATTCCAGTTTCTGTCTCTGAGTGAAGAGCACTACTTTTGCTCTACATTCTTGCTGTCCAATTTTATGAAGTTGATATCTCACTGAAATTTTCATCCACATTTCTTTAATGAATAAAGCTATTAAGCATAGGAATAAAATCAGAAGATTGTGGGACAGCTGATCAGAGTCCATCAGGGCAAAGAACCAGTGCAAAGGCCCTGAGACAGGAATGTGCTAGCAGTTCAAGGCACAAGCATGTCTTTGCAATATATATTTAATTAAAAATATAAAGTTTCATACATTGAAACAATTGGCTAGTGAAAAGTTCAATGATTTATAGGCATATATAATTTCATATCATTAAAATTATGAAATTTTGTTCTTTGGATGTCTATTGCTTTAGGACAGCTAAAGGCTGGGGAAGACTAAACTGATCAAGACTAATGCTCCCTAAAGTCACAAGCTTCCGGATTTTTAGAGAGAACAGAAAAGCAGTCTGGAATACTCAGGCAACACTTAACAGAACACTGCATTGTGACAAATGTATGTATTTTATATATTAATCAAAAGTAGCAAACATTTTGTATTTACTCACTCTTCATTCATTTCATTCCTTGAAGCATTTAACAACTCTTTCTCATGCCCTTTTCTCACAACTCTGTTTCTATTTTTTCCATGACCAAGAATATCCTTTTAGAAAACTTCCAAGAGCTCAGATTTTTTATTTTGAATTCCAAATCCCCACTCTGGAGACTTTGCGTGAGGTTTGGTCTCTATCCTTATGTGTCGTAACTATGGCTCCCACTATATTCTATTCCCTACCCTCTACTGCTCTTGAGTAGGCTGCCAACAGCCTCCATATTGCTTATGCATCTTTTCTGAACCCAGGTGTGACATTCACCTGGTTTTCCTCTTGCTGATCCCTCTTCATCTTAGAGACCTGGAAACACTGAAGGACCCGCTCCCCAGGACTCTTGTCTTCTCTGTTTGTCCTCACTCCCTTCTCAATTTCATATGGACTAATGCCATACAGATTTAAATGAAATCCATGTACTCACATCTCCACACATCCATTTTTGGCCTGGATTTATTTCCCCAATGCTAGACTCATTTATTCAATGATGTTGACAGGTCTACTTGCTGAGGACTGAAGAGAAGGTTGGTCCACAAACAGGCAAGGTCTCTAGTGAGTTTAACCTTGTTCTTGAAGAACCTCAGATATATGCATCATGGGTTTTACTCTGGAATTTGAATTCCAAGGAAAACTCCCCAAAAAGTCTCTCCTGCTCAGAGAATATGTAAATTCTCACTTATCCCCTTTGTTTTCAAGATAGCATCTTAGCATGCATTGGTGACCCCAGGCTAAAAACAACTGACTTTTTCCATCTCTGGGGTGAGAAGCCTGTGGGCAAAGGAACTCCATCAAGGTCTTAAATAGATCTTGTCTTCCGGTTTTGGGCCCTAACATTAGGGTTGGTGTGAACAATTCTCTAACCCTTTAAGAAAACCTGTAGTTCTCTGCTGTTTCTTGGCTTTCCTTATTACTGACATAAGATTTGATGTTCTTGGGTGTGTCCATTCATTTGCCACATGTCACCTGTTTTGCTACTTCTAATGATTGGTCTTTCTCCTTCCATCTTTGTCCTTGTGGATTTGTCTTATTTAATATAAATCCTTTCAATGTGCATTCAGTTTAGTGCTTAGGGAACAAGTGGGGCTATCTGGATTGTTCACTCTATCTTTGACTATATATGTATATATTCACAGGATTTTTAAAATGCCTTTGTCAGTAATTTCTTTGGCTTTTTTTCCTTTCCTTTCCTTTCTTTCTTTTTTTATTTGTTGTTTTGGTATGGGGAATTGAACCTGAGAGCATTCTGCCTCTGAACCACAACCCTAGCACTGTTTATGAATGTTAACACATTATTTTACTAAATTGCCCACGCTGACCTCTAATTTATGATCCTCCTGCTTCAGTCTCCAACATCATTGGAATTATGAGCACACACCATGGCACCCAGCTCTTTAGCTTATTTTAAAAAGCTGCTTAATTTATTTTTAAATTATATCATATTTTATACACACACACAACTTTTTGTTGTTGTTGTTACAGGAATTAAACCTAGGGACACTTAACCACTAAGCCCATTTTATTTTATTTTTTGTTTTGAGACAGGGACCTGCTGAGGCTGGGTTTGTACTTGCAATCCTCCTACCTCAGCCTTCAGAGCCACTGGGATTACAGGTATGCTCCAACACACCTGGCTATTTTGTAAATTTTATGTTTATTTTTAATGCATTTACTTTCTATTTGATAATTTTCCCTAATTACTTTTTAAAAAATAAAACATTTTTTCTTTTCTTTTTTTAAATTAATTAATTAATTTTATAGTAGAATGCATTTTGACATATTGTACACAAATGGAGCACAACTTCTCATTCCACTGGCTGTACAAGGTGCAGAGTCACTCCAGTAGTGTAATCATACATGTATATAGGGTAATAATGTCTGTCTCATTCTACTGTCCTTCCCATCCCCACAGTTCCATTCCTCCCCTCACTCCATTCTACACAAACCAAAGTTCCTTCATTATTCCCTATCCACCTGCCCCATTATGAATTAGCATCTGCTTATCAGAAAAACATTCACCCTAATAAAACTTATTTTTAAAAACAGTTTTGGATTTATAAAAAAATTGCAAAGATAGCATAGAGAGTTCTCATATACTCCATAGTTCCCCTATTATTAACATTTTATATTAGGATGGAATATTTGTTATAATTAATCCAATATTGAAAAACTACTATAAAGTCCATACTTTATTTAGATTTCCTTAGTTTTTAAAGAAATTTTTAAAAATATTTTTAGTTATAGATGGATGCAATATCTTTATTTATTTTTATGTGGTGCTGAGGATCGAACCTAGTGCTTCACATGTGCTAGGCAAGCGCTCAACCACTGAGCCACAACCCCAGCCCCCCCAAAGTTTTTAAACCTAATTTTTTTGTTGCAATTGCTCCAGGATCTCACTCAATACAAATAATTGTCATGACTATGGTCTTGACTTGTTTATGATAGTTTCTCAGACTTCCTTATAGATGCAAAGGAATACAGATGAGGTATTTTGTAGAAAGTTCCTCAATTGAGACCTAACTGATGTCTTTCTCATAATAGGTCTTTTTTTGTTTTGTTTTGTATCCCTGGAATGAACTTCTCTTGGCCCTGCTGTATGATATTTTTCCAATATTCTTGGATTCCTATTGCTAATATTCTAGTTACATTTTTTTTGCTTTATATGTGAGATGGTCTCCAATTTTGTTTTTATCATACTAATCATGTCTGATTGTTTTAGAGAGCTTTCTTTCCCTTTCAATGGAATAAACTGGGAAAGGTAAAGTTTCTCTTTTATTTGAAGGTTCAGTAAAGATAAAATGATTTTTGATTGTTCTCTCTTTTGTTTTTACTTTCTAGTACATTCATATAGTCTCTTAGTTTTAAGAGTCTTTTTAAAATTAACTTGTAAGTTATTCTGCTGTTCTCTCATTTTCTGAATAGGGTACATAGATGCATATTTTTCTCTTCTAATATATGTACCTAAAGCCATATTTTTCTCCTTTAAAGACTTCAACTAGATTCTACCAATTTTGATTTATGTAGTATTTTCATTGCACTCAAGTTCTAAACATTTTATAATATACAATTTTATTTTTTGACAATAATTTATTTGAAGTTCAGTTTTCAATTTCTTATGTTCCTTTTGATACACTTCTATTATTTTAACTTCATCTAATGCACAGAATGTGTTACAGTTACAAACCAAAGACATCTGTTGAGACAAATAATCTCACTGATAAATTTTCAAAATATTCTGTGTACTTTAAAAAAATAACATGTATTTTTTAATTATCTTAATTATTAAGCTCAACACACACATATCCATTCAACTGAGATTAACTGTATTATGCAAGTTTTCTTTATTGTTACTAATAATTATTTCTGCTTATCTCATCAATTAATGTTAGGTGATATTAAAATTTCCCTCTGTGATTATGATTTTTATCAGTAATCCCTTGTAATTTTGTCAA